TGTTGGGGTCAATATGCTGACTCTGTAAACCACTTAGAGAGGGCTGAAAGCCCTATGAAGCGGTATATAAGTCTAACTGCTATTGCTATTGCTTTCCAAACATGTGCTGTATTCATGCAACCTTGCCAAATTATGCAACTCTTCTTGTGACCCGTGATGTGCTTCTTATCCACCCTTGGGCATCCTTCCAGATCTACATAGCACCTCTCATGCACTCCTACACATCCTATTGACCTGTGCGGTGCCTCTCGGGTACTATTCAAGTAATCCTCAACTTACAACCACAAACCGAGGCCAAAATTTATGTTGCTAGGTAAGAAATTTGTTGAGTATTGCTCCATTTTACAACTTTTCTCGCCACATTTAAGTGAACCAGTGCAGTTCTCAAATTGACAACCCTGTCAGGAGGTCACAAGAGGGATTCGCATGACTGGGACACAGAACGCGAGGTAATTGTCAAACATCTACATGTAAACCACGTGACCACGGCCGTAAGTGTGAAAAACGGTCATGCTGCTTTTTTCAGTGCTGTTTTAACTTTGAACAGTCACTAAATCAACTGTTGTAAGTCAAGGGCTGCCTCTATTTGCACCCTTGAACACTCTTCCCTAAGCTGTCAGTGTTTCTTGCACATTCACATCCTTGTACGCCTTCCCTATGCCATGTGATGCCTCCCTTGCACCTCTGTGATCCTCCTCCCCCCCCGAACCCCCTTGGCACCTCTCATGCATTCACACCCTTGTGCATCTCTGCAAATTACATGGTGCCCCTCCCTCCCTTCCTTGTATCCTCCCCAACCTACTTGGTGGCTCTTGGGCACCTCCACATACTCCCATACCTGCACCCACTTCTTGTGTACACTGTTGCTTCCTTGCACATTTTGCCCACCATATTCAGTGCCCCGTGCATGTCCTGCCTATGGTTTACCCTGTACCCCTGCACACCTCACTCCGTCCTTGAGCTGAAACGCACAGCTTTTCCAAGTTTCAGTCCTATACAAGTGAGAGGCCCTGGATTTAGGATGCATTCTGTGAATTAGCGCATTTGAGATCAGGTCATGCATGGTGGTGGGTTCCGATTCAGCCTGGTTCAGCTGAACCGGTAGTGGTTTGGCGGCCTGGGTCACGAACCGGCAGTGACCCACGCCTGCCATGCCCCTTAACTGGTTCTCCGGGTGGCGCTATATGTGCTGGTTCTTGTTTTTTGCTTCTGCACATGCGCAGAACAATTTTAATTGCACTGCGCAGGGACGGACACGGCGCACAAGCAAACTGGCAGTAGTGACTGCCATAACCCACCCCTGGTCATGCACCAGGGAAAGATCCAGGCAGTTCAGATAAGTATAAAGATATATTTCAAGCTTCAGCTCTCTACAAGAATCTGAACTACGAATGGTCAACAGAAATGGGCAGCAGATGAGTGTCAAAGGAATTCAAAGTGGGATGGACTTAAACCAGGGGTGGGTTCCAGCTTCTTCTATTGCCGGTTCCTCGGGGATGCACTTTGGGCGTGCTACGCGCACATGCGTAGTTGGAAAAAAAAGCTCCTGCACATGCACAGAAGCAAAAAACAAGATGGCGCTGCCGATAGAACAGTGGTGGTTTTCAAAAATTGTTCGAACCTACTCTGTGGGTGTGGCCTCCTTTGTGGGAGTGGCTTGCTGCCCATGTGACTGGATGGGAGGATGCCGAGGTCACTTGACAGAACCACTTTAAACTACCTCACACACAGCACTGGCATGCATAAGAATAGGATG